GTTTCTTCTCTGCATGTATGAGGTCTTTCTCCCGCACTTCGACAACTGCCTTCGTACTTAGATCGCGCCATGCACGCCGATCAACCGCTTTCGTTTCCCATGACCCGCAATCAAGATAAAAGCGTGAGAGGCCCAATTGATCATGTCCTGATAACATAACTTTGGTTTCCCCACATGCCGCTTCCCAATACTCAGCTGACCGTATAAAAGTTGTTTCGGTATCCGCGTTGAATCCATACGTCACACATTACCGAGCCACCTCAGGTGTCTCAGTAAAAGTATGCAGTCCACTGCATATGTCACACTTTGTCGCAACACTTCCGTGTCCGTAACTCTGTCGCCCAAATTGATCCGCAAAATTCGTCGCAAACACTGTTGATGGAACGGCTCGTGATATCGCACATCCCGACGGTACATCGTTCACGCTTCACTGCCGAATGGAAAATCGGACAACGCCATGTATTTGTGCACCATCGGGTCGTGCCAATGGTAAGCTGCTGGTTGTTCCACACTCGGTACTCTAGCTTCCCAAATGCCGCCGCTGCCTTTGACACGCGTATACGCAGCTCACTGTGTAGCTGCTGATCAGTCCACATCACACTCCCAAGGTAGCAGAAGCGGGTGGTGGTTTCCAATACTTCAGCACCAATGCTGATTCGCGGCAATATTGAAAAGCGCACCTCCGGTGAAGGCTGAAAGAGACAGACAGTTTTGCTTGTGTTGATGGTGAGGCCGAATTTTGCCGCTGTCGAAGCCAGAGCACTTGTCATGTGCTGCAACTCATCCGCGCTGTGTGCAAACGACGCACAGTCGTCAGCAAACAGCAACATACGGATAGTTGTCTCACAGACTAGAGTTCTCGCACAGAAACGACGGATGTTCAGCAACCCACCATCAATACGGTGCTCTACACGAACACCGTTAGCACAAGCCGCATCAAATGCACACGACATCATTGCATGAAGATAGATATTGAACAGGGCAGGAGCTAAGACACCGCTTTGCTTCACACCAGAGACAACTGCAAAGTCATCCGAGTTCTCTCCACTCAGCTGCACCCTCGCCCGTACACTACTATGCGGACATTCAATCAAACTTACAAACTTACGTGGGCAACCAAACTTACCCAACACCAGCCACAAGGCCTCGCGGTTCACCGTATCAAATGCCTTGGTGAAATCAATAAAAAGTGAGTACAATGGCTGGTGTCGTTCTTTGCACTTCTCCTGCAACTGACAGCCACAAACACCATATCTATAGTGCTGCGACCCGAACGGAATCCACACTGCTCTTCCGCCACGTTCGGTGCCACAACCTGACTGGGGAGGCGGTTGATGAAGTATCCTGCAATCACGTTGCCCACAGAAATCCACAACTTGATGCCGCGATAATTCGTGCAAAGTCGCTTGCTCAATTTGTCCTTGTACACAACGGCATCCTTCAGCTCAGGAGTCACCTCCTCCTCAATCCATACGCGTTGCACCATTTGGTGCAGCACATTCACCACCGCAGGTCCACCATGTTTCAATACTTCAGGCGCGATCCCGTCGGCCCTAGCACACTTGCCGTTCCGCAGCTGAGCAAGTGCCCACTGCGTGTCATCCAGTGTCGGCGTGTCCGCCAGACACACTCGTGCTGCTTCAGGCCGTTCAATGTACGCCAGTCGATCTCTGAACGGTTGTACAAGAGGCAATCAAAGTGCTCCCGCCAGGTCTGCAGTGTGTCTGCATTCTGGGTGCAGGTAGCGCCTGAGCTGCCATCGATTAACGTCCGCAGCGGCTCCAACCTCGGTCCATACACCGCGTTCCAGGAGTCAAAGGATCCCTTGTGTTGACGGCGTTCGGCACAGCATTCCATCTGCTTCGTCTTCTCCGTCCGCCGTGCATTTTTATTGCGATGGAACTCTCGACTCAGTCACCGTCGAAGTTTGCGTAATGGATTCTCCTTCCCCAAGTCACTGGGGTTTGCCACATGCGCAGCAAATGCTGCATTTTTCTCCGACACCAATACGCCAATCGTCGCATTGTTCTCATCAAACCAATCAGGCCGCTTACAGTTTGCGCGCCCGATGGTCTCCTCAGCAGCAGCTGTCACCTGGTCGCGAATGTAGTGTCACAGGGCACCCACTGTGTCTATGCATTCCACATCACACAAGCGGGCAGCCATCGCCTTCTCCAGCTCAGTACCGAGGGAGAGAATGTTAAATTTACGCCGATTCATGGTGGGAGTGTAAACGTATATTTAAGAAAATATATGCACAGTTTGGTCCGCACTAATTTTTGATCGGTGCCACACTCAACTGCACGCAGTACACATGTTATGCGCACTTCACGCATTTACGCTGACGTGCGAGGATATAGTCGACCAGTTGAACGTGGGTGCGTTCAAGTACCTATATCACTCGCACTCAGCGCAAACCGAGTGTTCGTGATCGTCAGAACGTTAGTGGCACACGGTGAGAGCCGGCTGATTTCTTTCGTATTCTCTCTCAAGGACATGCGGACTGATGACACCTGTCTACACCGATTCATCCCGCGCGACACGGGCGTTGAATTCACCCAGCAGTAATAGTCTGTCGCTCCACAGCATAGATTGCTGCACAGATTATGACAGATTGTAGAATTGATCACGCGTGTCAGCAGGATAAAACATTCTTGGACCTGCATGTTTCTGAAGGCGGCAACTTACATCATCCGAATCGTAAGCGAGCATTCATCATTCTCACGCTGATGTCACTTGAACAATGAACAATGAACAATGAATTTATACGGGTTAAGAAGCGTTGCTTTACAAGCCCCGTTGGATAGTTGGTGGGAATATCAACATAACAATTATGATGAAAAGGATAGTAAAATAGTTAACACTTTAAATACGAAAATAAGGACTTATCGTTTGCTTCGCTGTAGTCCTGCGATCCACTTAGATTCACAACACCCACAGTTAACAACAAATAATTCCATGGTAAATGTAAA